CCAAGTTGTTTCAGCTAAGAACCGAGCAGCACTTGGTAACTGACTTGGAGGCAGTGGTAGAATTCTTCCCTCCCATTTGGAGGACTGGGGTTCTTGTGTGGAGGTGTAGGATAAAGCACTGGACCGAAAGGTAGATGAACTGCAAGGTTAGTGGTTCAAACTCACCAGCCACTCCTTGGAAACTCTATACTGGGTCGCTATGAGTCAGAACTGACTTGATGGCACTTAACAACAACAATGACAATGTGGAAGATCCAGTTTGAGTCCCAGCCAATGTATCTCAATCACAGCCACCACCCATCTCTCAGTGGAGGCTTGTGTGCCGCTGAGTTATTGAAAAGGTTTCAGTGATACTGCTAGTCTAAAACAGACTAGAAGAAAGACCTGGTGATTTGCTTCTGAAAACTCAACCAATCAAAACCCTAAGATTACAACAGACTAGGCTCTTTATACACAAACTCACCACAAATCAGCTGGGTTGTCACCTAATTTAGCCCTATCTTCTGGTTAAGTGCCTTCAAGTGGGCTCTGATTCATAGTGACCCTGAATAGGGTTTCTGAAGCTGTAAATTTTTGGAAAGCCTCATCTGTCTGACCATTGGTGGGCTCAAACCACTGACCTTGTGGCTTGCAAGTCCAGTGCTTATTTTACAGAGCTACTGTTCTCCCCAATCTTGATCACTATGTCTTCTTGCTGTTGTGTTCTGTCGAGTTGCTTCTCACTCATAGTAACCTTGTTTGTGAAGAGTAGTTGGTGGGTTTGAACTGCTAACTTGGCAGTTAGTAGTCCAGTGCTTATCCTACCATGCCACACCAGGACTCCATCACTATATCTAGGAGATCCCCAAACTCCACAGCTGTAGAGTCTATTCCAACTCATAGGCTGTTAGTCTTTATGAAAGTAGATTGCGTCATCTTTCTCTCGCAGAGTAGCTGATGGGTTTGAACTGCAAACCTGCAGTTAGCAGCCCAACAGCCAACACAGGGCTCACTGCGTATAGGATAAGGGCCAACACAGGGCTCACTGCGTATAGGATAAGGAAAGGGTAATCACAGAGAGCCAGCATTTATTTGTAGCATTTAACTAATTTAATTGACTTTTTCCATATATAATCTAGTAACTAGAGATTGTAGAACTGTTATCTCTTCACTTAGAAGAATGAACGTCCCTAGTTCCTGACACAATGAATCGTCTTTCCTACTATACTGACCTAACTGTTTGACTTAGAAAACATCGAATAGTGTTGTTTGGTAGAATCTGATTTTCATCAATAAGAATTTTCACTCTCAAAGTAAATGTTGGTGGCGTTCTTAAGTGCTGTCGAGTTGGCTCCAACTCACAGAGACCCTGTAGAGGGTTTCCAATAGCACCGATTAAAAGCAAGATGCAAATTAGTAAAGGATACTTTTCCTTTGAACCTTTTCACTTGGGGGATTATACTAAATAAATGGGAAACAATTACTTCAGACCTTTCATTAACAGCATACTGCTTTTCTAATTCCTTTCATTGGAAGATACCTGGTGGTTTAGAAATTGAATGAGTGTGAAAATATAGAGTACCTTTTTGAATAATACCGGTGCTTGTTGGGGAGAGAAAAGAAACCTTGCAATTTGCTTCCTACTTTGGTCTCTACAAGGAGCCCTGGTGATGCAGTGGGTTCAGCATGCCGCATTGAGCTGCTAGCCACAAGGTCAGTAGTTCAAATCCACCAGCTGTTCCACAGGGGAAAGATGAAGCTGCCGGCTTCTAAAGAGATTTATAGTTTTGTAAACTCTAAGGAGCAGTTGTATTCTGTCCTATGGTGGTGCTGGTGGCTGTGTGCCGTGGAGTCGGCTCCGACTCATAGCAACCCTGTACGGGGTTTCTGAGGCTGTAAATCTTTGGTGTGGTGGTTATGTGTCGTGGAGTTGGCTCCAACTCATAGCGACCCTGTACAGGGTTTCCGAGGCTAGAAATCTTTGGGGTTGATGTAAGTTGGAATTGATGAGATGCAGTGCTTTTGGTTTTTGGGGTTTGATCTCTATATTTTTGGGTACCTGAAACTCAGTTTCTCCCAGATGACCCACTGAAACCTGCCTAGTTTATTCCCCCACATACTGTTAGTTCCTTTTAGGGATCTTCCTTTATTCTCAGTTCCTTTTTTTCTCTAGTAATAGTTCAGCCTACTTTGGGGTACTGTAGGTCTTAAAGGGCTATTACTGCCACTTGTTGTTGTTAGGTGCCATTGAGTCGGTACCAACTCAGAGCAACCTTATGCACAGCAGAACAAAACACTGCCTGATCCTGGGCCAACTTCACTACTGTTGCCATGCTTGAGTCCATTGATGCTGCCACTTGGCCAATCCATCTCATTGGGGGTCTTCCTCTTTTTCTCTGACCCTCCACCTTACCAAACATCATTTCCTTCTCTAGCAACTGGTCCCTCCTGACAATATGTCTGAAGTATGAGAGACAAAGTTTGGCCATCTTGGCCTCCCAGGAGCACTCTGGCTGCACTTCTTCCAAAACGGATCTACTGGTTCTTTTGGCAGCCCATGGCACTTTCAATATTCTCTTCCAACACTGTAACTCAAAAGCATCTAGGAAAGTTCAAATTCTCATGCAGCTCTTCTATTTGAAGAACCAGTACAAGCCTGATGATTTCCTGCTGTGTTAGGCAGGGTGGTGGTCTCCTTAATAAGAACTACAGCTGCACACTCACTCAAAATCTCCTGAGCCCCACACAAACCATGTTCACCTGCCCAGGGACAACTCCCTCCACCTTCCTTAGTGGACTTATTCCTGAAGAACCATTTTTAACTTGACCTAACCTATCTACCTAGTCTCACTTACTACTACAGCCCACATCAGCCCACATCTACCACCTGCACTAGAGCCGTTGTTGTTGTTGTTAAGTGCCACCATGCGACTCTAATAATAGGGTTTCTGAGGAGCAGCTGGCAGGTTTGAACTGCCTCCTTGTGGGTCAAATCAACCTTTTGGTCCAGTGCTTATCCTACAATGTCACACAAAAATAGTCCTTTAAAAAGCTCTGCTCTGTATGTATTTGGGTCTTTGAATTGTTGTTGTTGTTAAGTGCTTGCTGTTGAATCGATACTGACTCATAGTGACCCTATATAGGGTTTCTGAGGCTTTAAATCTTTACAGGAGCAGAAAGCCTCATGTTCTCCTATAGAGACTGGTGGACTCAGTCCAGTGCTGATCCCACAGAGCCACTAAGTTCCCATTTTTCTGTTTAGACATGCTAATTTCAAAACAGTTTTAAAAGACCATTTCTAATATACTCATTTGTAATATAAATTTACCTGACAAAGTGTTGAATTTCTATGTTTTAAAAGAACTACTTCTATCCCTAGGAGCTCTTGTAGTATATTGGTTACAAGTCAGGCTGCTAACTTCAAGGTCAGCGGTTCCATGGGAGAAAGATGAGACTTTCTGCTCCCGTAAATATTTACAGTCTCAGAAACCTGTATAGGGTCTCAGAAACCTGTATAGGGTCTCAGAAACCTGTATAGGATCTCAGAAACCTGTATAGGGTCGCTATAAATCGGAACTGACTCTATGGCACATAACCACCACCACCACTTCTATCCCTAAAAAAGGTAGTAGTTTCATGAATATATATGCAATTCCCATCCTTAAAAACTCTAAATGTATATTGCAGCTAATGGTTTGAAGCTTATCTTTGTATTCATTTTCTCTTTACATACAAACTGCTCTTTCCTTTAAGATTCTGGTAAATAGCAAGAGTTGGTTCTTTTTCCTATTAAATTGTAAGCTAATGAATTATAGCCTGAGGAAGGGACATGTGTCCCACACTCTTATTCCTAATGCTATGGTTACCTTAAGACTATGTTGTTGTTGTTATGTACCGTGGAGTCGGTTTCGACTCATAGCGACACTGTACAGGGTTTCCAAGGCTGTAAATCTTTACAGGAGCATAAAGCCTCCTCTTTCTCCCATGGAACAGCTGGTAGTTTTGAACTGCTGACACTGAGGTTAACAGCCCAATTCGTAACCACTACAGTACCAGAGCTCCTCCTTAAGGTTATGTATCTATATAAAATGATTCTTTTGTGGTTTCCAGGTATTGCTCCCAATGAAGCCAGGTGGTGGTGGTGGCTATGTGCCATGGAGTCGGTTCTTATAGCCACCCTGTAGAGGGTTTCTGAGGCTGTAAATCTTTACCAGAGCAAAAAGCTTCATCTTTTTGCCTCGGAACAGCTGGTAGTTTCGAACTGCTGAACCTGAGGTTGGCAGTCTGACACATAACCACTATACAACCAGAGCTCCTTCAATGAAACCTAGTTTGTTTTAATTATATTTATTTCTTGGTGGTAATGAAATGTTTTATGTAATAGTCTACAAAGGTTTTACTTCTTTCCTTCAACATTTAGAGTGGTTACAACAACTCTTCCACCTGCATTTGATAGTTGTTAACCACAGTCAAGTTAGTTCCAACTCATAGCGACCCTGTATAGGGTTTCCGAGAAGCAGCTGGTGGGTTTGAACAGCTGACCTTTTGGTTAGCGGTCCAGTCCTTATCCTATAGCACCACATCAGGACAGCATCGCATAAATTCTGAATTGAAGTTGTAGAGCCAATGATCACACAAATAACCTGGAACAGCTGAGGATGTTCCTGATGAAAATGAGGCTCTTTGACCAGCAAGATTTGAAAGAAGAAAATGAAATAATGTTCTGGGGCTAGAATTCTGTGTTTTAAAACTTCAGATGCTAACTGACATCACCATAATGAAGCCTAGTAAAAGGAGAAATAGGTGATACTAAGTTTGACAACCTAAAATGGAGGTCAGGATGCTAATTTCAGGCTATACATTAAAGGCTTACCAAATCACTGTACCATGTTTGATCAATGCAAGCAAACTACTTCATAAAGAAGTAAGCAAATAACATAGGATTTAATACATACCTCTCTAACTGTATCTGTAATATAATTCCCCATATAATTTCTTAGAAAGAATAAAAATTAATGTACCTTTTCCACTTCGTTCTTGCTTGAAATTTTCTCTGCATCATTGCAGTATCTGACAAATAAATGGACTCCGTTAATAATTTTGTTAAAATGTAATTTGGAAAATCCTAATCAAAATGTCAATATTCTTTACCCTGGAACTGGTTTTGTTTTCTCTTTCCTCTCATTTGTTTCATGTTCATTAATGCTTTCTGCAAAATACCAAATAAAATGAAAATCATTTCAATAAGAGTTTATCTTTGAGTGTCTGTGTGGGAGAGAAAATGGAAGCAGTACTAGAGAATGAAGACATATTCATCTTGTATTCACATTCATTTTAACAAAGTCTTTTATAACCACAAATATTCCCCCAGCATTTTTCACTGCCTCAGAGCAGTCCATCAGAATCAGAAATAAACACAGTAGATCTGAGGCTGCATCCAAACACCATGAAGGAATTAAATATTCTAATAGTATGCAGAAAGGTCATTTCAGGATAGAATAGAGTAACCTGAAAGGCATGAAAGAGAATTCTATCAGACTGGTGCGGGATGATAAAAAGCCATCTTTCCTTTTTTGCCAGAGAATATAAATTCAATCATTAATTAAAAGTGAAATATCTGTATAACAATTTTCTTATTTCAATATTGGAAAAGATAGAAAGAGATAAAATCACATCGTGTATGAATAGCACATTCAAAATTTAGCCAAGAACTCTTGAGTTTATGTCTATTGCCCAAAGGAGTACACCCCACTTGGCCATATCAATACAGGGTACCATCAGTTTCCAGTCCATGGTTGGTAGCGCCCTTGAAATAAGTCATCTGAGTGGCTTCGACCTCTGCTTCAGCGCCGATGATCTGCTGAGCAACGGCCTCCACAATGGGCATCACCATGGCAGCAGTAGAGGTGTTGCTAAGCCACATAGATAAGAAGGCAGTACTGCTCATGAACCCCAACGTCAGCCTGAAAGGAGAGAACCTTTAGTGGAGAGCTGTGCTCTCTAGCTTAATTAGCTCTGTAGTACTTAAGAGTAAAGGATGTTGTCTGTGAATTGGGACTTTTCTTGCTTTCCTTTTTTTCAACATTTGTTGTTGTTGTTAAGTGCCGTTGAGTCAGTTCCGACCCATAGCGACCCTGTATAGGGTTTACAATGAGCAGTTGGTGAGCTTGAAACACCAACCTTGCAGTTCAAACGACTTTGCAGTCTGACGCATTAGCCCACAGCACCACACCAGGACTCCTTTTACAACATAGGTTAAAATTCACCTGGATGATGGACTCCAAATATAGTCAAAATCTTGTAGAAATCAGAGTGGTACATGTAAGAGTGGAATTCTTTAAAAATCTGCCTATTCAGGAACCATAATCATCTTATTTAGATAATGAAAAAAATGTATAAGCAAACTGCAAGGTGGCATGTGGTATAGTAACTCATAACATTACACCAATTTTTAAGTGCTCTTCAGAAATGATCACTTACTTTTATATACTGTTGTTGTGAAGTGCCATCGAGTCGGTTCTGACCCATAGCGACCCTGTACAGGGTTTCCAAGGGTGTAAATCTTTACGGGAGTAGAAAGCCTCATCTTTCTCCCGCGGAGCGGCTGGTAGTTTCGAACTGCTGACCTTAAGGTTCGCAGCCCAATTCGTAACCACTACGCTACCAGAGCTCTTTTTATATACTAGTAACATGAAAGTGTGTGATCAACTTTTGACTGACTTTGGGGTTCTTCAGTCTTTCTTTTTTCTTTTGGGCATGTATTCATTTATCAATATGTATGCCAAAGAGGCACAAAGACAAGGAGATTAATATTTATAAATCTGCCTTTTACTGTTCACTACTACTGTTCAATATAGTTTGGAGAAAATTGTTAAAATTGCTGTCTCAAATGAGGTTTCAGATTTTTCTGTAGACTCTATTATTTATGATCTTCTGAAGCTGGCATTCCTGCTTGTTGTCATGAACAGGATATATTACACTGCCTTCTATTATGAATAGAATAGTTCTTCTCCTTTAAAAATAACATACCTACAGCTATCAGATTTTAAACATGTCAATCAACTTTCAAAACCACACTTGGGAAAAACTATGATCTCTCTCAAGTAGAAGGTCCCAGAAAATCGTTCAGAAGCATATCTTTCCTCATAGAACAAACCATTAATAAAACCCTCTGATTCTATTTAAAAATATATCTTTAAAAAATAATTGAACACTAAAAGTTGAATACTCAGATCAAGTGAATGTTTTCTACATGTAAAACAACATAAATGAAAATGTTATAGCAATTGAATATAAAATTTATTTAATAAATATTAAAAATACTTCTTAATAAAAAGAAAACTAGAAACACTTTTAAGTCAGTGGCAGGACATGAAATCTCCTATAAATAAAAGTTGGCATACGGATAAAGCTTCTGTGTGCTGAAAATACCAGAAATTGAAAAACTACTTAGTCACATAATGGATATTACCTCACTGGGGTCAGGGAGCAAGTGAGCAGAGGGTTAAGGAAAAGGGACACATTTCTATAACACCCCAAGGGGTATAGAACACTACTGCATTTTTAAGAGTGAAATACTCTCAATAAATATTGTTGTTGTTAAGTGCCCTCAAGTTGTTTCCAATTCATAATGACCCTGTATAGCATTTCTAAGGAGTAGCTAGAAAGTTTGAACTGTAAATTTTGTGGTTAGCATTTCAAAGCTTATCTTACAATGCCAAACCAGGACTTACTGTTAAAATTCTAAGTAACAAAATGAATATAGAGCATTTCATTTCATCTATCATTTTCTTTTTTGTTTTTATCTTTAGCAAAGCTGTTAATTCCATAAATGATAAACACAGATGTGGCTATACCATATAATGAATTATGCAATGGAATTCAATGTTTTTCTTTTGTGTTTTTTTTTCAAAGAAGATGCAAAGTGAAAGACTATCTAGGACTTTAAAAACACAATGTGGAAAAAAAAAAAAAGCACAATGTGATTATGAAAAGAATATGACCCTAGAAGTTTTCTTCACCTCACATCTGTGTTCTCAACAAGAGCTGGCCCATGTTCATAAAACCAAAATAACTAATTAGTGAAAATACATATAATACATATGCTTTCATTTCAGTGGAGGAAATTAGCCTACGGAATGATTTTATAGTCTGTAGATGAAACTTCATCAATTGTTTCACTTTGCAATAGTTGATTTAAAAAAGAAAAAGGTTCACCTTAGAATTGTATTTTGTCAGTCATGACTTTGTCTTTGGTTCCTAACATCTTCCCTGATGATCAGGGATACTCTTGAATAAGTCTTGAATGTGTAATCAGACAAATAAGAAAGAACTAAAGTCTACTCTGAAATCTATCAGTCTTATCTGGTGAGTTTCAAGGCTGCCCTCAGCTTTGACTCCTAAAGTGAGAGAGTTGTGTGTGCTCATTCCAATTTCTCTGTAATTTGACCTTCAGTGAAAAGAACATTGTTGTTTTTTGCCTCCTACAGTTCAAGTACACTTTATATTACTTTCATTTTTTCAGAGGGAAAAGGGGTGGCGGGGCATGAATTATACCGTGATGCAAATAATTCCCTAGATGTGCATTACTTATTGGACTATTGGCTATGCACACAATGGTCTGTTTAGAATGCAAACTGAGAGCATTAAACACAGCACTTACCATGCTGGGTTCACACCCACCAACATCACCATTTTCAGAGCAATCCGCTTGTGTAAATTCCATTTTTCTATTGATGTTGCTAAACAGATGACTCCAATTAACAGTAGGTGAAAATCTTTGAAATAAACAGATGCCACCTGAAATTACAATGAAACCATGATTATTTACATTGGGTGGTGGTGATTGTGTGCCATGGAGTTGATGCCAACTCACAGTGACCCTGTATAGATAGGTTCATCTTCATTGTTTTTTCTAAGATGGTTCTGACCCATAGTGACCCTGTATGGGTTTTTCATGGAGTGGCTGGTGGGTTTGAACTACCAATCTTGTGGTTTAAATTGTCCTTAGGGTACAGCGTAGAGCAGAAAGTCTTTCTCTCTTGAAAAGCAGCTGATTAGAACTACTGACCTTGAGACTAGCAGTCCACCTCATAACTCACTAAGTTACCAGGGCACAGTTATTTTCGTCGCAGGGGGTAGCACAAGAAAGACATCATTACACTTTTAAATTTGACCTTCAATTACACAATCTCTTTATGTTTGTCAAAAGAAATGTATAGGAGTTGGAGTACAAATGTGAATATTCTTTATCTCTTACCCAGAAATAGCAATATTAAGGGAAAATATACAGAATAAAAAGGATGCAGGACACTGGGTTTTTAAATAGCTGAGTAACTTCAAACAAGTTCCTGAATCCATCAATAGATGTACTCAGGGTCCAATGGCAGTTACTGAGATTTAAAAATATCCTGAGCCAAGTCTCAAACCCGGAAATCTCTTCCTCAGTACCCATTATGCCACACTGCAGTCATCCCTTCATATTTGAGTGCTTTACTTTGTAAATTATTATAAAACACTCTTGAGTAGAGGTTGAGTTGAAGCCATTTTCCGAGATTGGTTAAATGGTCAGACATTGTGAATAACTGTTTACAACAGTGTTTTCTGTTTCCAGAAGAATTCTCTGAAGTATGCAAGGTACAATAAGATCTTTTTTCAAAGATAGGATTTTGTGTTCAAATAAGTTTGTAAAGCATAGAGTTTTGCAACACTAAAATTTTCTTTCCTGCGAACTTTTCAAAGATTTACAATGTGAATGTATATTTTAAATCTCAAATGGGGTGTGTGTGTGTGTCATATGTTATATATTTTACAAACAATTATTAAAACATTATTATTATTAATGTCTATGGTTCTGTGGTAAGGAGCTCTGGTAGCATAGTGGTTACGAATCGGCCTGCGAGCCACAAGGTCAGCAGTTCGAAACTACCAGCGGTTCCGCGGGAGAAAGATGAGGCCGTCTGCTCCTGTAAAGATTTACAGCCTCGGAAACCCTGTGTAGGGTCGCTATGAGTTGGAACTGACTCCACGGCACATAACAACAACAACAACAACATGGTTCTGTGGTAGTTAAGGTTTTGTGTCGACTTGGCCATGATTCCCAGTGATTTGGCAGTTGAGATGTAGTCATACCCCATAATGGAAATTGATGTGATAAACCAGTAAGAGGATTAAGGGTGGGATGTTGCTGTTGTTAAATGCAGTCAAGTTGGTTATGACACATAGTAACCATGTATAGAATTTTCAAGGAGAGCCGATGGGTTTGAACTGCTGACCTTGCAGTTAGCAGTCCAGTGCTTATCCTAAAGTACCACACCAAGATTTCACCACCTGTGTGGTGTGTGTGTTAAGTGCTGTCAAGTTGGTTCCAATCCATAGCAACCCTCTACAGGGTTTCTGAGGAGCAGTTGGTGGGTTTGAACTAGCAAACTTGCTGTTAGCAGTCTTATTTTACTGTGTCACACCAGGACTCATCACCACCCTGATTCAATTAAATTAATTCAGTTCCCAAGGGTGGCATTCAACACCTTTTATCTTACGAGAGATAAAAGGAGAGAGACTTGAGAAGAGAGAGGAACCCACTACCCCCAATATAAAAGACCCAGGAGGTGAAATGTGTCCTTTGGACCTGGGATCTCTGCCCTGTGAAGCAACAAGACCCAGGAGAAGACTGATGCCAATATGTATGGAGTTCTTCAAGCAATATTTGATTTACAGATGTGGAAAGGAGCTAACAAAAAGAAGGCCTTCCCCAAGAAATGGCGCTCTGAATTTGGACTCTCTAATCTCCTAGACAGTGAGAGAATACAGTTTTAGTTGTTAAAGCCACTACTTGTGGTATTTCTATCATAGCAACATTAGATGTGACAGCTACTTTATGGGACAAAGACCCTAGTGGCCCAATGGCTAAGTGCTAGTGGGCTAACTGAAAGGTTGACAGTTTGAGCTTATCAACCACTATTCAGGAGAAAGATGTGGCAGTAAAGACTCACTGCTATGTGTTGTCAAATCATTTGCAATACTACAGAACTCTACAGTACAGAGAACTGTGACATCAGACTCCCTTTACCAGAGCACCTAGATCTTCCTAGGAGCCACTGGGTTACCAGCTGAGAGCATCACCGTTGTGCTAACAGAACTCTTCTAAAATGATGAACAAACTCAACACCAAATCCACTGCCACTGAGTGGATTTCAATTCATAATGACCCTATATAGGATTTACAGGGCTTTACAGAAGCATAAAGCCTGATCTTTCTTCCTTACAGCCACTGGTTCGCAACCCAGGCAGGGAATATCCTTTAGTGCTGTGAACCTTGGAAACCCTTTAAGGCAATTCTACTCTCTTCTATGTTGTTCTTGTTGTGTACCATGCAGTCATTTCTGACACATAGCTACCCATGTGTAGGTTTGGGAGAGCAGCTGTTGTATTTGAATGGCAGACATTGCAGATAGCAGTCCTGTGTTTATCTTATAGCACCACACCAGTGCTTCCTCTACCCTATAGAGTCTCCATGAGATGGAATCAACTCAGCAACAATGTTTGTATTGTTTTGTTTTTACCTCATGGAACTCATATAAAAGAGAACTGACTTTAGAAAATTGTTGGGTAGGCTGAATCACAAGACTTTGCAGAAAGAGTGGATTCTAGGACAGAATAGTCTGAAAAGTCAAATAATGACTAGTGGGAGAAATACAAGAGTTGGAGCAAAACAATTCTAATGTTACAGATGCCTGAAGAAAAGGAAAAACAATTTTGATGGTAATCTTACTATTTTAAATTATACCTGTACATTAATACAGCTTATTAAACTTGGCTTGGTTTCAATACAAAGTAAAAATTAGTAATTACACTTGAATAAAATGTCATGAAGTGGACACTTTAGTGTTTAATTAAATGTTACGTTTTATGTTTTCCAAAGTTTATACTTCCTCTTTTCATTTGGCAGTAATTGAGTAATGAAAACTTAATAATTACATAAGTACCTTTAATTTATTAAGTATTCTAGTATTAATAAGCATCTACCATGCACCAAATATCCTGATAAAAGTAGAGGATGCAGAAGTAAATGCTCACCAATTCTCAAATACCAGAAATTTCTAAATAGGTCATATTCTTTTTTTGTATTGTAGAGTTCTGTTTGTTTTCTTCATAATATATCACATTATCACAGTACATAAATATTTGTTGAACTCTTTATTTCACCACTCATCTGTCAGTTTGTCATACTGTGGTGGCTTGTATGTTGCTGTGCTACTGGACGCTACCACACTGAGTCACCCATGGGGGACAGGTTTCAGTGGAGCTTCCAGACGAAGACAGACTAAGAAGAAGGAGAGTTAGGCAACTTCTGAAGGGTTAATCACTGAAAACCTTATGAATAGCTGCAAACCACTGTGATATATTGTACCAAAAGATGAGTATGAGTTTGGAGGGAGCTCAAAATCCAACGAGGGAAGAGCTGCCTCCTCAAAGCTGTAGTTTAAGTGGTGTCAAGTCAGTTCATAGTGACCCACACACAACAAAACTAAATACTGCCTGGTCCTGTGACAATCTCACAATTGTTATCTTTGAATCCATTGTTGCTATAAACATGTCAATCTACCTTGTTGGGGTTTCCTCTTTTTCACTAATCCTCCAGTTTTCCAAGAATGACATCCTTCTTGAGGGACTAGCTCCACCTGATAACATGTCTGAAGTTGAGAGATGATGTCTGACCATCCTGGCTACCAAGGAGCATTCCAACTGTACTTCTTCCAACACAGATTTGTTTGTTCTTCTGGCAGTCCATGGTACTTTAAAAATCCTTCTCCAACACCATAATTTAAATGCATTGATTCTTCTATGGTCTTCCTTATTCATTGTCCAACTTTCACATGCATATGATGCCATTGAAACTACCATAACTTAGATCAGGCATATGTTAGTCTTCAAACAGACATCTTTGTTCTTGAATACTTTAAAGAAGTCTTGTGAAGCAGATTTGCCTAATGCAATACATCTTTTGATTTCTTGACTGCTATTTCCAAAAGCATGGATAGTGAATCCAAGCAAATTGAAGTCTTTGACAACTTCAGTCTTTTCTCTATTTATCATGATGTTATTCATTGGTCTAGTGGGAGGCTTTAAATTTTCTTTACATTGAGGTGAAATTCACACCAAAGGCTATAGTCTTTGATCTTCATCAGTAAGTATTTCAAGTCCTCTTTGTTTCTAGAAAGTAAAGTTTTCATTTCTATGTCTTCCATCTGGTGACATACAGGTTTATGTTGCTGGAAAAAAAGGTATTTGCACCTGTTCCCATTTTGGCAGCAGCAGAGACAGCCAGGTAGGAAAGGCTCCATGGGGGAGGGACTGAAAACCCACAGAAGCTGCACTCATGGTACAACACCAGAGCTCTGGATCTAGCATAAGGTGCAGGGTGTCAATTTCCTGCACACACAAGAGGAAAAAATCACAATATAAAGGAAAATACTGAAATTTGGAATTGTTCGAGACAGTACTCAGAGGGCAGGACTACAGCCAGACCAGCACAGGGAACCTATGCTAAAAGCGGTACAGTAACATTTGCAAAAGGAGGTATGGGGAATTCTACACATTTTTTTCTCCTCTTCCCTGTCATGCCTTC